CAGCTGCCTTGATTCTTGCAAAAAGGCCAGAAACTACTTTTCCGGGATTGTTAATCACCAGTATTTCATTATTTATTACACTGTTTCTTTGGTTAGCCAAACAATATCTTGCTAGAAAACTCGGTTCTTCAACAGTGTTATCCGAAACTCGATATTCACTGATTTGCTTAGAAATTACGGCAGTTATCTTCTTAAGCAGTCTATTATATCTAATTTTACCGAATATTTGGTGGTTGGATTCGGCGGCAACTTTAATAGTAGGAACATTACTCATTATAGAATGCTCCAGTACGATATATGCGGACAAATGCAAGTTAGATAATACAAATGAAAATAATTACCAAATTACTATTACGATTGAAGAAACGACTAGTTCAGCTAAAGAACAAAGGCTTAGTTCACAGAGGTCTTTTAATTCAAGCAAACGACAGTCTTCCAAACTTAGTACAAAAATTAATGAAGGGCAAAGAAAGAGACCTGGAAGTTTGGATCTTTTAGATATTCCTATCGAAACAAAACCAATAGACATGGAGATGGTTAGATGAATTATTTTATTTATTCTTAGTTATAACAATTCACACCTTGTATAAATGGAAACGCATTTACCTTTATCTTCATAATCTGGACACTTAAAAAATTCTTTTAAAAATGTCTTGGTCTAGTTCTTGATGAATTAGATCTTTAAATAATAAAATAGATACATCCATATTTATAGATTTTAAGTACTATCATTTACTCATTTTACTCATGTATTATTTTATTTCAAACCCCCAAATTTCTCCTTTTATTCATTTAAGAAGAATGTCACTGTAAATCACATGTGTTATCTTAATACAGTAATAAAGGATGTATCAAGCCAAAATTATAAACACAATCTATTCTTACTAGATTCTCGTTTCTTTAATAAATACATGATTGAACATAGCTACGTACCAATACTGTACGTACAGCCCGTAAGTCGGAATTGCTTACAAAACTACTTTCTGCATCTTAACAAAAGCAATTCCTTGATACATGCTATGCCTTTATTAATGTTGTCATAGCATTCATCCTAATCCTAACATTAAGATGTTACTTTTTTAATAGAAAGAACCATTGACGATTCGCATTTATTTTTGGCCAATTAAATTTAACGCATATTGATACGTATTCATAACACAATCTATATACTTAAAATAGTAACTTGCTTTTAGCGACTAAATTAGTGTTTAACGTTATATTTTGTAAGTCAGAATTTAAATCAACCAATCAAGGTGCAAGATCTGTTGCAACATGTGATTTTATTTTAAAAAAAAACTAGAACTATCACCGTACTCGAATCTAACCTAATCGATTGCTTTTTGTTTTTTAAAAAGACTGAAATTAGAAGGTAGTAATGCTCACACTGATTTTCTTTATTGCGATTTGCAACATTCTGGATCCCATTGATTGTTTGAGCAATGATCTCTAACAATCGGTTATTATTGCGGTGAAATTTGAAGATCAATGTAATTTCCGATTACTGATTTCCGATTACATTTTTTTTGACTTTTAGACTAGACAAAATTTGCGCATTCATCATTTGTATTTTAATGCGCAACTCCTATTTTTGCAAATATATTACAAATTGATAATATTCTATTGTATTTGTATTAAAGAAATAAAAAAATTTGA